TATATGCGCATTAAAATCACCCATGAAAATGAGGAACTCCGTAATCCGTACTTCATACAAAGAACACTCCACTTCTTCAAGGAAAGGCTCATATGCCTCCTCTAGATTAGTCGCATAGGTCGACATTTTAGCTTGTAGCGTTTGTCGGAGGATTGCCACTTTCGCTGACAGACTTCCATTCAGTGATTCTCTCAGCCAGGTTGGGTTCTGCTGGTACATCAAAATCGAGCTTAGGGCGTGTCGTGATATCGACGCCTGAATAGAATAGTTTCCAGCAAAGCAGAGGTTCAGGATTCCAAAACCGTTTCGTTGACGAAAGCCAAACGTTGTTAGACTGGTATCTTTCGGCTTTATCAACTAGATACTGTTCTTTTCCTCCGAGTGAGGATATATTCATTTCACGATCGTAACCTCCCTTAGGCGGTGTCGTTCTCGTGGAGTCTTTTCTGATGTGTTATAATGGAATCGGGCTGTCTGTCTCCTCCGTTTAGAACGGGTAGCCACTCCATTGTAGATTGATATCTTCTGTCGTCGTTTCATCGATCTTCGTCAGCCATTGTTGTGCTGCTACTTCCCCAGCTGCCAGAAAGCGATAAGCAGGTTCTGATCGCTGACTGTTCGCAGTCTGCCTCAGTCCCCCAACAATCTGCGCTGCCCTTGGTAACCCGGGTGACGACTGAGCCGGTATAATGTTCGATTATGGCAATGCGATGAGGAGCAGGTGGCTAAGTTTTACGGAGACTTCGTCAGGGTCTCCAACCCTACTTTCTGAGCTGGACTTGGGACCTGCAGCGGCGGAGAATGCATTATTTTTTAGCGATTTTCGAGCTTGTAAAGTTGTGAATAATGTTAATTTTTGTCCATTTCCTGTTCCATGCTTTTGCCTTCTTTCTGATTGCGTAGTTAAGACAAGATAAGTTGGCGACCCTTCAAGTTATTTAAGTTGCTTGGTTTGTACAGTGTTGACGTCATAATCGAACGATCGAAACCCTGAGTCAGACATCTTTGATCTCTTTATAGTAAACAGGTGAGGAGTGCGACTTTGTGGTAAACAGGAAGCTACACGCTATACTTACCACACAGCTGTTTTTATTGCGTTTATCATAAGGCATTTCTGCGTAGCGACATAGGTAAACCCCGCCTCCAGAAATAGGATGCCGCAAATAGCGCCTGTAATAGATAGTTAAACCCGACTTCCGAAAAAAGGAGTTTTCTCTGCTTTTCTTGAAGAACAGATGTTCCATTCAAGACACGTCCATTGGCTTTGATCTGTCTAGAATACTCCAAGTAGTCGAAAGCATTGCTGTTCTATCTGCTTTCATCTCCACAACTTGCGAAAGATGAGACGAAACGTTTGATCAGCCGTCACCTTTGTGATTTTTCTTGTGTTGCGAGTATGCGAAGTTTTGATGAAACTACTATGTATATTTGTAAGTACCCATCAATCATTTTTTTCATCGTGTTTTTTTACATTGTAGAGCCAAGCCATTGAGCTTCGGTGCTACACTCGTAATTTACAGCAAAGGGTAATTAATTGGAAGCCAATTTCATCCTCAGGCCTCACTCGTCATTTAACCTTTGGCCATAATCATATTAGGCAGTCGACAGTGGTGATCTTTCTGGCACTTCAGTTTGATTTTCGTGTCGTCAGTTGATCTTCAGTCGATTCGAGACACCACTGCCATGTTTTCTCCTTGCTATTCAACATTGTTCTCGACTTTCTTGTCCAAGACACTTCTGATCCTGGCAAAGACGAAGGTCCCATTCTACAAGGAAGACGCAGTTGAAGATTT